GGGCCGCTCTGGGCTACCAGCCGTGGGCGGTGCCTTGCTCCGCCCCCTCCAGGCCCCGCCCCCGAGCCGCCCCAGGCCCCGCCCCCAGAGCCGCCCCTGCGGGTTGTGTAAGGCCGGCGGCCCGCGGGCGAGCAATTCCGATCCCATGCACTAGAGGGCAGTGGTGCGCGCGCACCCGGGACTATACACCGCCCACGTGGGAGATGGGGCCAGTGTACGAGCTCCTTGGGCCGGGCCTCCCTCCGCCGGGCGGTGCAGGGACCTTACCCCCAACCCGATGTCCCTGATACCCAGCGACAGACCGCGGGGCTAGTCCGTCGGTCTGGCCGCGGGCACAGCTCGCCCCAGTGCTGGTGCGGGCCGGGCCGGGCCGGGGCGGGTGGCGCTGGTTGGGCGCAGCGGCGCTCAGGCCTGCAGCAGCCCCGAGACGTGTCAGGGCAGCGGGGAAAGCGCAAGCCCCCGCCAGGCCGGTGTTGGCCCAGTGGGGGGCGGGGCAGGCCCCGAGCCCCGCCCCAGGTAGAACCCGGGACACGCGCCCCGCCCGCAGTAGGGGGCGCTGTTCGCGCGCGGGGAGGCGCCCGTGACCCGTTCTCTTTGCGGGAGCTGGCTCCCGGCATGCACTTCGCCCGCCCAGCATGGCCGCGCCGCCCAGCCCCAGCCCCGTCCCCTAGCGCGCGGCGCCGGGACTCTGCCCAGCCCGGAGCGGGAGCGGAGCTCGGCCGGGCCGGGCCGGGCCCGCTGGAGAAGCCCCGCCCGGGGGGGGCCATGGCCGAGCGGGCCGCTGCCCAGGTAAGGGCCCGGCGGGCGGGGGAGCCTCGGGCCCCGGGAGCTTCTCCCCGCCCGGCCTGGGCCCCGGGAGCCGGGCCGCGGGGAGCGCGGGGCTGCCCGGCCGGGCCGGGGGGTGGCTCCGACTGGGAGCAGCGATCGGGGCTTTGGTGCTTCCTCGGCTGCAGGGACCGGCCCCCCTGCTGGGCACAAATACCCTGAGCCGGGTTGTGCCAGATGCTGCCCGGGACTTGCCTTCCCCGCGGGAGCCCGGAGGCTTGGGGGAGAAGCGGTTCCCGACTCGCCCCGGGGGTGTTTCTGGGCAAAGCGCTCGGTACTGTCGCTGCAGGGACGTAACCCCGCCTAGTCAGGGAGTGTCCCGGGCTGTGCGCCGTGCTCCACCGGGCAAGCAGTAAATCACAGGCCCTGGGCCGAGGCCTGACATGCCAATCTAAGGGACTGCTGCTGCTTTTCGACCCCGAGAGTCCTGGTGCAGACTGTGCCTCTCCATGGGGGTGCAGGGGTGGATTCAGCTGTAGGCTTGGGACCTAATTTTTAGACGTGACTAGTGAATGTAACAAGGAGAAGGGAACGGATATGGGGCTCAGAAGAAAAAATAACCTTACACCAGTATGATTATCTGTCAGCCAGCTAGGCCCTGATCCCGCATAATATTCCTTGGTGATGGGCCTTCTGCGTTCACCCCCAGTCCTGTTGACTTCAGTGGGGCACTGCACAGCGTTCTGCCCACACAGAGCAGCCTGCAGGATTTGGGTATTGGATATACGCATATTCTGGTGGTTCAGTTTTTATTTGTTCATAAAATATATTACTATGCTTGAGTTGCTTTTTGTGGGCATCGTGGAAGAAGTGAGTCTTAAGGAGGGGGTTGAATGAAGTATGTCTTGCAGCTTGGCAGACAAGCATTGGTCAGGCCGGAATATTCTAAAGAAAGAAAATAGTAGGATTGCTGTAATGGATTTAGAAAATCAGCAGCAGCTCTGTTGATGTAACCAGGGGGTCAAGTCCCAGACCAATGTATTATAAACCTCTAAACGTTACTTCTAGTGAAAATGTTAACAGACCTTTTAACTATTCTATCCAGACTAGAATTGCTGAGTGCTCAGAAGTTTGCCTTAATAGGGTTTGTGTGAAGATTTTCTTTCACATTACCCCATATGAAATTCCCATCCCAAATCTTGTTTTGAGGTTCAAACAAACCCAAAGCCTCAAATCAAATCTCTGTAGCAACCAGAGTTTTGCTTGGCTCGGTTGCAAACTGTCCCCAGTGTGTTAGCAAGGCTTATAAACCTTAGTGGTGCACATCATCTGAGTTTTCACTTCATAATAATCCCAGCACAGGTGGGTTGGTGTGGTGGTGTTTGTTTTTATTACAATAATGCCCAAAGGCCCCAACCAAGATCAGAGCTTCAATGTGCTCAGCCTGTACAAACCCATAGTAAAAGACAGTCGTTGCTCCGAAGAGCTTACCATGTAGACAAGAAGCAGGCACAAATTACACGTTACGTATTACAACGCAGATCAGTGGCAGAGGTGGGAATAGAACCCAGGTCTCCTGACTACCAGTCCCCTAGATCACATATTGGTTTTGTTGGGACTGTTTTGCACAACTCTAAATTTGACCCTATTAAAAACAAAGATCTAATCGCAATAAGGTTTGAGCAGCCTGTAGCACATGATCTATTTTTATGTTGTTTCTCTTTGTAGAAGATCTACTTTTATGTTTGTTTCTCTTTGCTAGATGGGAACATGAACCCAGCTCTCTTTAATTTTTGTCCTTGCAAACAGGCATCGGAGTGGGACACAGAGGTACAAGCTCCCCTTATCCCAGATGTAAGTTTTGTGAAAGAAACCCAGCTGCAGACTGCAGCTATTTCCTTGTGGACTGTGGTAGCTGCTGTTCAAGCTGTGGAGAGGAAAGTGGAGTCTCATGCTATGCGATTGCTGAATTTGGAGCGGAGATCAGGGGCAGCTGAGAAGAAATTTGTGGATTGCGAGAAAACAGTGGTAGAGTTTGGTAACCAATTAGAAAGTAAGTGGGCTGTGCTGGGAACTCTGATTCAGGAGTATGGACTGCTGCAGAGAAGACTGGAGAACATGGAGAACCTGCTGAAGAACAGGAACTTCTGGATCCTAAGAATTCCCCCTGCTAGTAAAGGAGAAGACCCAAAGGTAACAGTAACCCATCTGGTACTTTAGTGTAAAACTAATGTATACTGTATCGGCGAAGTTTTTCTATCCCTATAAATCACCATTGTAAAATGCCTTGGCTGGAGGGAGCGGTCTGTCTGGCTGCTAGCTGTGTTGCTTATTAAGCAAGTACTTGATCCACAAGATGTGTGAAAGCAATTATGAAACGTAACCCATTTTGCACTGCCCTACTCCAGTGTATCCTGCAGAATGAGCGTTCTGCTGCAGTCCAGGAAACCGTTCAATAGCAATAAAAGGAAGAAATCTCATTTTAAAAAACAACAACCAAGACATTTCATATAAAAATCCCTCTGTTAAAATAATATTATGTTTCCAAAGTGAAACACTTAAGTCTGGAAATGCCAAAATCCGTTGTTCCCCTAAACTTAACTCTGTTTCTTGGTCCATATGCATTACAGTAATGTCCCTAGGTATGCATGATTACATTTTATTTTTTTCCATGGGACCCTGGACCCCGGCCCGACACAATAAAAGTTGGGCACTATCTAGTGCGGTGTTAATCCCAGACTTGATCATGCCGTGACCCCCTGTGGGTTCATCTCTGTTAATGCGACATGCCCCCGCCCCCAATAATTAGCATTCGGGATGGATTTGCACAAACAAAAACTCCATTTTAACAGCCTATTGGAAAACTCCTGGTGGGTAGCCAGGCCCAGATTAACCAATGCATACTCACACAGGGCCTCTGTTTTGGGGGGCCTTGACCACTGGACCATAATAAGGGATGGGCAACTGGCAGCCCGGGCGGGGGGCACATGAAGCCTGCCGGATCATTTGATTTGGCCTACCACCCTGTGTGCAGAAAGGGGAGGGCTCTGCCCCCTCCGCCTTCCTCATCTCACCAGTTGCTCCTGTGTCTCCTCCATGTGTGGCTTGTGACCACCTGCTGGCCATTAAAGGCATGTTGCCCCTACTGCTACGAGAGCATGTCTCTTGCTCTGGTAGCAGATGGTGCTGCCCAGAGAGCTGTTGGTTTCAAAGCTCTCTTTCATTTCATAGGCTACACTTGCAAACGTAACCTTCTTTTAACAAAGCTTTTTGGGTGGGATATTGGATGCTTGCAAATTTTAGATGCCTTTTTCAAAATCCCTTCGACCAGCTGAGTAATACTGCTTTCCAGGATAAGTGCATGGCTTAAAACTATAAGGTTTTTTATTAAATTTTATTTACTTATTTTTAAAAAGAGAGAACTAAACCAGAATCTCCTACTGGAAGGCTCCCAAACTTTAAGAAATGCAAGCTATAGATCTGACTTTCTGGGTCGGGACCATCTAAACATTTTCTATTAAGCTTAAAAAATATATATATTTTGCTGAAATAGGTCTATTAACCAAGCAAAGGATGGATGACAATGAATACAATGTGCTATTAGTCATAATGATCCATGGCCATTCATTTGTTTTAAAATAAATATTTCAATGGGGAGGAAATCTATTCAATCTGTTTTTATATGGATCACTTGATGATTCCCTGTTCTGTTCATTCCCTCTGGAGCACCTGGCATTGGCCACTGTCGGAAGACAGGATACTGGGCTGGATGGACCTCTGGTCTGACCTAGTATGGCCGTTCTTATGTTCTTATTTTACTTTTATTATAAATAGTTTCTATATTGTTTATAAAAGGTAATGTTCATGTTGCTTTCTTTAGAGGCATGTCACTTTCTACAGCGCCGGTTTCTATTGACTTCGCTGACTACTTCAGATTCTGCTGCAAGTAAAAGCAGGATCGGGCCCAAAGTCCCACACTATGTTTGGGATGGCTTCCAGTCTACAGCTTTTACCAGTTGTCTTTCCACAAACTCCTAATAAGCATGGTGTTAGAGCTGTACCGTGTTCCAGTACAGTATCTGCGAACAGTTGAATAATACTTGATTCTACAACATATTATTAAAAATAGGGCAAAATTACCATGTGCAGTTAGTCACCTCTTGGTCCATAGCCTCTCCAGCACGTCAGAACCTGAGTGATCAATGTTAAATAGCCTACTTACGAGTAATGTGTTCTGTACAGGGTTTCTGGGCGATCAGAATAGATGCATAGTGAAGTAATCTTACTTAGAGGGGCTTGGATTCCATGGTGATGTGTGGTATAAATACTCAAAAGACAAATGTTTGTATAGTGCAGGAGTTCTCAAACTGGGGGTTGGGACCCCTCAGGGGGTCGCGAGGTTATTACATGGGGGGTCGCGAGCTGTCAGCCTCCACCCCAAACCCTATTTTTCATCCAGCATTTATAATGTTGTTAAATTATATAAAAAAGTGTTTTAATGTATTGGGGGGTCGCATTCGCTTGCTATGTGAACGGGGTCACCAGTACAAAAGTTTGAGAACCACTGGTATAGTGCATGCAGTGTTCTTCAGTACTGGAGAAAGCAAAGTAGATTTTTGACGTGCAGCGATGTCAGCACTAGGGAGCTGGTTAGCAAGCAGAAGTGAAAGGCATTTTTAAATAATACCTTAAACCAGGGGTGGGCAAACTTTTTGGCCCGAGGGCCACATTGGGGTTTCAAAACTGTATGGAGGGCTGTGTAGGGAAGGCTGTGCCTCCCCAAACAGCCTGGCCCCTGCCCCCTATTTGACCCCTCCCACTTCCTGCCCCCTGACTGCCCCCTCAGAACTCCTGACCCATCCAACCCCCCCTGCTCCTTGTCCCTTGACCACCACCACCCCGGGATCCCCCACCCCTAACCGTGCCCCCCCCGGACCACACCCCCTATCCAACCCCCCCGCTCCCTGATTG